TCTAGATGCCGGCTTATTAAGGAGCTTCTTTCTAACCGCTTACAGTAAGTAGATTCTGTAAAAATGGCTGCTTAATTATTATGCATTTTTTATCACTGATTTTGACTGCCTGTATAAATTCAAATATATTTTATAGAAAACACGCACGAAAATATTCTTTCTTGTACTCATTTGGCAGGAAATTACGCCTTCTTTAAAGTTTATACTTAAAGGAAGGGGTACCTTTCGGCTTTAAAAAAAAAGCTTCTAAATTGCCGAATAATTTTGAAACGTACCGACTGCTACAGCTGAATCCAAGGTTTCCAAATAGCACGCTGTTTACATTCTGTTTGAGGAAAAGTACGTTTTCCACTACGATTTGAGGAAGAAGTTGCATTTTTCTCATAAAATTTTGCATTAGATTTGGATCATGCTGTATACATTGCAGGCAGCATTAACAGATAAACGAATACAAAGTATTATGAATGCACACCTCACAGTTGTGAAACATATGATAATATTATACTGGTTCTTTAAGTATAAAGCTTAAAGAAGGCGTAGTTTCCTACAAAACCAGTACAATAAAAATATTTTCGCGCATGATTTCTACAAAATATATCTGAATTTATAAAGGTAATCAAAATCCATGATAAAAATGCATACTATTTGAGTAGCCATTTTTTTAAAGAATCAAACGAACGGTCAGAAGGAGGCTCATTACAGAGCCGGCGTCCTGGCGTGACTGAAAAGACTTGAGATTAGGCTGCACAATAATTAGTATTGCAAACCTGCTTAATGATGGTTTGCGAGTGATAACCAGAGAGAGACGCATGGACGTCCGCCGAAGCCCCTGCCTCTATACAACGTTCACCCTTGTGGTGCTCCAGAGAGTCTTCAGCAAGCTAAATGCGGAACATACGTAAATACATTGTGGTGGGATGTGGATGCATAAAAAGGCAGCTATGCTCAAGACGCCAGAGTGCTATTTACATACAGTATGGCGAGTGCTGTAAGCAAAATGGCGCAATTTGCGAGACTGGTAATCACTCGCTAATCGGTACTACGGTTGTAGTATTGATTATCGTGTAGTCTATTCTCAAGTCATTTCAGTCACGATAGGATGCCAGCTTTTTAAGGAGCTTCTTCCTGACCGCTAACAAGAAGTATGTACTGTAAAAATGGATGCTTAAATAGTATGCATTTGTATCATGGATTTTAACTGTATGTATAAACTCAAATATGCTTTATAGAAAACATGTACGAAAATATTCTTTCTTGTACTCGTTTGATAGCATAGTACGCCTTCTTTAAATTGTATACTTAAATAAAAAGTTAATTTTCGGTTTTAAAAAAGTTTCTAAATGGCCGAATAATCTTGGAATTTGCCAACTGCTACACCTGAATTCAAGGTTTCCAAGTAGCATGCTATGTACATTCTTTTTAAGGAAATAAACATTTTTGCCTACAGTTTGAGGAATAAGTCGCATAGTTCTCATAAAAGTGTGCAATACATATGGATAATCCTGTATAAATTATAGGCAACATTAATTAATTGACGGATACAATGAATTATGAATGAAAACCTCACGGTCGTAAAAAATACCATAGTTAGACATTTTTCTAAAACCTAAGGATACCCTTTTTTAAGCATAAAATTTAAACAAGACGTAATTTCCTACCAAACGAGCATAAGAAGGAATAGTTTTCGTGCATATTTTCTATAAAACATGTTTGAATTTATAAAGGCAGTCAGAAACCATGATGAATTTATAAAGGTAATCAAAATCCATAATAAAAATGCATACTGTTTGAGTAGCCATTTTTTTAAAGAATCAAACGAACGGTCAGGAAGAGGCTCATTACAGAGCCGGTATCCTGACCTGGCGAAAAAAACTTGAGATTACACTGCAGGATAATCAGTATTGCAATCGTACTTAATGATGGTTTGCGAGCGATTACCAGCCTTTCGCAAACTGCGACATTTTGCTTGCAAAACTCGCCATACTGTATATTGCAAATGTTTTTTTTAATATTGTTGATCGTCGCAGGAGAATCTTCAGGGGTTTAGGGGGCACGAGATCTCCAAAAAGGTTCGAACACCGAATTTCCTGTCTGGCGACAACGATCGTAATTGGAAAAGTCAAGGGCATACTAGTAAAAAGAG